AACTCACCCATTAAGGTCAACTTCCTTGGCCTCTGTTTGGAGGTGATGACTTGCAGGGAGGGCGCGATGGACTGAATGCGGATGACCTGCTGGTTCGGGTCGTACGTCCCCGGGACGGCCAGCTCCAAATCGCGGCACATCAGGAGTTTGGGGGAAACGTACTGGAGCTCCAAGGAAGTCAGCTGTTGTTGGCCAAGGTGGGAAAGCAAACGAACAAAGCAGCTTAGGATGTGTTCCAAAGGACAGATGGGGAGAATAATCCCCGCGGGGAACGAAGGTCCTCCCTCCACAAACCTGAGGCAGCTGCTTGGAGATGCGCCGGAAGACGTGGTAGTACAGATCCCAAGCCTGAGTGAGATCCTTGACGTTTCCCGATTTCATATATTTCCGGCACCATTCCTGGGCCTCCATCAGATCTCTGCCATAAGCCTGAGGGAAAGAAAGGACAGAGTTGCTCTGGGCTTATGGGCAGATGAAAGGCAGATGGGTGGATCAGCCACCTGCGAATTGTTGTGGTCCACCGGCGGCCTGCGGAGCTGGCAGACGAGTCGGGCAGTGGCGGGGGGGGGGGGAACAGGGGCCAGTCCTGGAGTCTGGGGAGGGCTCGGACGAAGGATCTGCGTCCGACACAGAGATGGGGCTAGGGCCGTCTGAGAGTTGACTCCGGAGCCTCCAGAATCTGACATCAGTGAGGCAGAGGAACAGGGGGAGCCTGTTCCCAGTGTGCGCATGCACAGAGCTGCCAGAAGGCAAGAACAGTTAAGACAAAAGGGGCGACTCGGGAGTAAGGCTTGGAGTTGATTGGCCCCTCCCATAAGACCTAAGGGAGGAGCAAAGGGACAGGAGCCTTTGCAGGAAGCAACTTTATTCGTTCTGATCGGTTTAAACTCTAAAGCTCCATGTTGACTTTGTGCTCCGTTTGGCCTTGTACAGCTAATTGGCAATTTAGCCGTTGGTAGCATTTCAAGGGAGATAAAGGTGGGTGCTTATCAGCCTTATCCCGAAAAGACTGCGGCAGAATTTCTGTTGGACTATTCACAAACTGTTTGGGACTCATTACGGGCTGTGAATGAATATAATTCACAGCCGTTGAAATAAAAAGAGGGTTTTGGGGACTAAGCGTGTGATTGTTACTGTCTCAGGGAGCCTTGGTCAGAACACAAATGCCTCCCCCATTGGAAAAGCAATTTCAAATAGCAATCATTTGGGCTTTCTCTTCCCTGATCCTCAACCCGAGCTATTGTCCGTGGCTTCTGGCTGACCCACTAAGAGGCCCCTGATGTGGCATTTCGTAATTCACGATGCCAGGCGGAGAATGTTCCTTGAGGCCAGTATGTTCCTATATCAAACCTCAAATGCTTGGGGTTTCTTTTCTATGGGCTGCCTGGAAGGTGATTTGTTTCTCTCTTTCGTTGCTACCTGATTGAAGGAGGTTTCCTTGAGGGTCTGGGGACCACGCTCCATCATGGCATGCAGCGGCTCGAGCACTTCGAACATCCCCTTCACGTTCCTCTCCCCGAAATAGAGGCGGGACGCTTCCTCCAGACCTTCGTGCCACATCTCGTGCCACAGGATGGCCACGCGGATCAGTTCTTCGCTCACCTGGTGGCAGAGGAAAGGAAGGCCCCCGGGAGAGGTTAAAAGGCAAAAGGTGTGTGTGTGTGTCTGTCTGTCTGTCTGTCTGTGTGTGTGTGTGTGTGATGGCATTCAACTTCATGAGAGGCTCCGTCTCTTCGCTGAAGCTTCCCTATATTCTCCACCCCAGCCTGCTGGATTGAACAAGGCCTGGTTGAAGAAAAAAACTACCCTCTCAGCGGTGGAAGTTTGGTGTCTCGAACCTGCATCAATTGAGAAAATATATCCTCTTGCTGGCATTGCCCCACCTAAGATCAGGAGACGGGTAGCAGTAGATGCAGAGAGAATTAAGCAAGAAAATAACCCTTGGTATCCGCTCTGCCCCCTCCCCCCCCCAAGCCCACAGACTCAGATCTAGGAACAGCTTTATGGCAAGAACCAAACATCCATGGTGGCGCAGTGGTTAGGTGGTGCAGTACTGCAGGGTTGACTCACTGCTCACTCTAGGAGTTCAATTCTGAGCAGCTCAAGGTTGACTCAGCCTTCCAGCCTTCCAAGTTTGGTAAAATGAGGAGCCAGATTACAGAGCCTGACTGTGTAAGCGGCTTAGAGAGAGAGCTGGAAAGCACTGTGGAGTGGCATATAAGTCCAAGGGCTTATTGCTATTCCTGAGAGTATGTAAGAACATCAAATTAAAAGAAAGAGGAAGGAGACCGCCGAGCATGGAATAACATTAAAGGAGGATACAACTGAAGGATCTGACCTCCCATATACTACATAGGAGGACTCTGAATGGGTTGAGAGTCTGAAAATAAACCAGTATGCTTAAGTGGAGGCTCTTGGCGGGTAACAACATGCTATGTGAACGTGGAGAGACCGAGAGACTGGCCCATCTGCTGGTCGGTCGGCTACGACCAGAAATATGTACTAATAATGACATTTTTGGCCAACAGCAAAGTTTGACCTAGACACAGAATAAAAACAAGTGGAAGAGGCCCAGGCAAAACTAGGAGAAATTTCAGGCACACTTATTGTATCTAACAGCTAAAGGCCCACTTGCTGGGGGGCATCTGGGCTGGTTTGTTGTAGAGATTAGAATAGGCCTTCCTATTTTCCTGACTAGCACCTGACAGCCAGACAGAGGGGCGTTCAATAGAGACTGAGCTTTCTGCCTAGAGTTTGTATAGAAACAGCTATAGCCACAGCATCAGAGATCTAACCCAGACTGACTGCTAGAGGGAGTTATACAATTGTTCTCAAGGGATGCATAAAGCTGCTTCTTACACAATTCCAGCGTCAGTAACAAAAGAGATCCTTTGTGGCCTTTAGCAAGCTCCCTTTCCCATGTTTTGGTCTTAGCAACAGCAGAGAGTATGCACAGAGGCGAGAGAGTTTCAACAGATTGGCAGTTTCCCCAGATTTTGGGAAAGGATCTCATTTCCTGCCCAAGCTTGTTTGAAGTGGAGTTTAGGGAACCGGTTATATAGTAGTTACGGTTCTGAGGAAGGGCAACAGCTTGAAAGAGATTATCCAAATAAGGATTATAAAAGTTAATAAGCCAGAGCAGTACCATGTGTACCAGAAATAGACAGATTGGTGGAGAAACAAGTTTTTTTTTTAAAAAAAATATAAAACTTTTTAAAAATCCACTCTTTCAGAGCCCTAATCAAATTCTTTTAAACGGTGTGTACTATAAATATGCAGGCACAAAAATTAATAAATAAGCATCTGTGTGTTGCAAAACTGAATAAAAGAATAAAAGGGAAGAGCATTTCTACAAAGGCAAATCTGGTAACTGGGACTGAACTGGGAAGGCTAAGTTAATTGAAATGATATAAATTGACAAAGATCAGGGAGAAGGTATGAAAGAATGAACTGGCTTGTTCCCTGTGGTTTTGCATGTGGGAAAAGGATGGCGGGGAGACACAGAGTGGAGCATGCACATGTCTGTATTACCCACCATCATGGCTTGTTGGACGAGCGTGTTGCTGTGTTCGCACATATTTTTCAAGATCTTGTTAGCAGCATTGTGCCGGGCTGTCGTTGTTGACTTTGAGGCAACCGTCAGTGGATAGATCAGAGCCTATAGGAGGGGCCAGAAAAAAGGAGCAATTCATCAAAACTTGGGTGGTTTGGAGTCTGAAAGGTGTGTCTGTGTGTAGGGTGGCCTCACCTGAGGATGGTACCTTCCAATGTCAGTCAGCAGCTGGTAAATGAGCCGTCCCACCAAAGGCCGAGGTGTGTCGATTCTTGCAATCAGCTGTGGTATCACCTGATTTTTTTTTCAGGAGGAGCAGGAGGAGGAGAGATAAGGAGAGGGGGAATTAGTCTGTCCTTTCTTAAAGCTGTATAACCAGGCAGCTGCCACTCAACAGATTCTACTATCCCCTGGGGGAGGCAGAGCATCCTATCTCAAAATCCAGAGCTCCATGTGAGAACCAGGCTGTTAGCAGGAGAACAGCCCCCGCCGGAGAAATGACCAAACTACGTTAAGTAGGAGAAAGAATATTTTGCTGACATCACATGTCAGCAAATGGAAAGGGGGCATGCTGGCTGGAGAATTCTGGGAGTTGAAGTCCACCCAAGTTGAGAAGCCCTCACTTAAGAGTGAGACAGGGGGTTCGTACCCCTTACCTGGAGCCAGGTGTCTATCTGGATGGCCTTGACCCCTTCCACCAAGGCTTCATTGACTTCTGGCCAGTGGCCATAGTCAAACCACAACGTAAGGACCCTGGAGAAAGACGAATTCCATGAGCTCCAGTTTTGTTCCTTAGGGAAACATCACAAGGGGGAGGCACGGCTTCGCCCCTGGGCCTACCCTCCCGCTACCCCAGCCCAAAACCTGACAATTAAAGGTTTCAAATCCCAAAGCACCTGAGCGTATCCTGAAGGTTGTTTCCCCGGGACAAAGAGATGGATCGGAAGAAGCCCTGAACGGCCGGCACGGTGTACATCAGGAGGGTTTTGGATAAGTCCTGTCGGGAAGAGAGAAGGAGGGATGAGTCTCCCCGCCACCCCCAGGTAAGGGGGAGTCGAGGATTTCTTGGGAGGAGGAGGAGGCTCTGACCCCGTGGGAGCAGCCTGACCTCAGTAACCTTCTTCTGCACGGGAGAAGGGGCGGGGCTGTTCTCAGGGCTCTCGGCCTCGCTTTCGCTGTTGCTGCCTTCCGTGTTGGCGCTGGTGACGCTGGTCCCACTGGCGTGGCGCAGCTTCTTCTTCTCGTCCCGGGCCTGGTTCTGGAGCTTGTAGTGCAGGACTGCCTCAAAGTTCATCACTGCCCAGGCATGCCAGGCCTGGAAAGAGAAGAGGCACCGCTGGCATGATCTAGCTCTCCATGGAGGGCAGTGACTGAGGCGCCAGTTCAGTCCTATAGAGTCCTTTCTTCCCCTTTTAGGTTCCGCTGCCGGAGCAAAACTTAACGGATTTCTCTCCTCCCTTCTCCAATTTTCTTTTAACTCTCTCAAGGGCAACGATGCAATCTGGTTTCTCCTGATCAACCCCCTTCCTCCCTTTTTCCCCCCTCTCACTTTGCTTTTCTCTCAAAACCTACAGTTGTTCACTTTAAAATTTAAACTACGCAGGCCACACCTGCTTTCCTAAACGTCGTGTACCGCTTAGCCAGGATCCAATCTGGGTCGGTTTTGTTTGTCTTCCGAGCTTTCGGACCCATGGTGGAGGCCCATCTTCAGGGACCCTGTCTCTAGCTCAGCAGACAAAACCTCTGGACCCTGATTGGATCCTGCAACATTATCCTGGGACACGTATCATCGCCTTCGCTGTTTACGTAGGGCGCGTCGAATTTTTCCACTTTCCACTTCCAAACATTAGGGGTGCTCAAATGTTGTGACATGCCTTGGGGATTGTAAAGGTATTTTGGTTACTTTAATATAATTTAGATGTGCTTGGTAAGTAACTACAGAAGTAATCGTAACTTTTGAACATTTCGGCCAACGGGTCGTCATCCAAAGCCAATCCCAGTCGCACCATTAGCAATCCAAATGGAAACGGGGATATTGTTTCCTCATTTCAGAATCTCCATCTCGCTCCAAAGGCTGGGGAGCCCTTGACTCACTTCCTTTGGCGCGGCCACTGTTCTCCCTCCAGAGTTTCAGGCCGGAGTGAGTCCTTCTCGGTGAGGCAACCTGGTTCCTGGTATCTTAACGCCAGTGGCAAAAACGCATGCCCACACCAAGGCCACTGAGGGACCTGCCTGACCTGGCCTCTCCCTTTAACTTACTTTGTACCAGTTGCGGTCATGCTCCGTGGAGGCGCTGTAGTACTGCAGGACTTTGGGGATGGTGCTCTCGTTGATGCCTTGCAGGTTCAGCTGCCACTCTCCCAGTTTCAGGAAACACCTGAGAACAGGACAAAGAAATATGGGCTACTTGACATGAGGATGAGGATGACGAGGAGGAGGAGGAGGAGGAGAGGAGGAGGAGGAGGAGGAGGAGGCTATCCATTAAGTCAAATCCGACTCTTGGCGAGTCTACGGGCCAAGTTTCTCCACATCTTCTGATCGTGCGCTGTTTCTTTAATTTCTTCTATGCTGTGTCCGGTGTCAGCTTTCATAGTGTCCAGCCACCATGTTCTTTGACAGTCTGGTTTCCTTTCACCACTAACTCATTCCAAACCTAAGTGCTTCTTTCTCCAGTGAATTCCCCCGAATCCTCCTCCTCCTCCTCCTCTTTTAACGACCCCATAATCCCTTGAGAAGTGGAGTCTGGCCAACTGAATGGAGCTGAGGGTTTACTGGCCGGATGCCCTTCCTGTCACCAATGCAGAGTTGTTGTTGTTTTTTTTTCCTTTCGCCAGATATATTCTCAGTGTGGCCAGAGAGTGAAGTATCTGCCTCTGCCTAGGATCAGAACTCATAGCCTCCTGATTGTGAAGCAAGAACTCCACCTCTAGACCACCGGACCACTCGAATGAATTTCCCCGAACGACACGGCCAAATAAGCGAGGCAGTTTCGTGATTGGGCCTGCCAGCGACATGTCTGGTGTTATGCACTCCAGTACCTGCTTGTTGGGTCCCCTTTGTTGTCCAAGGAACTAACGTGACACCTCGGTTAATGATTTCCCAATCCTGGCTCTGGATCCTGAATGATCAGCCAGAACGAGGCCACTGTCCACCTCTGCGGCTAAAACCGCATCAGGGCCCCAGGAAGGGAACTCACAAAGCGTAAATGTTCCCTTAGGGGGTCTTTAGTACATTTTGCACTACTGACCCTCTGTTTCTAGAGAGGTCCCTGGTGCAAACTCAGATAGCAACCTAAAGAAATATTTACAATACTCCTTGCAACGATCTTATTCTGGCTTATTGGAACCAGATATCGGTACCTGTATACCAAAGATATGAGCAGATGAACTTTGAATCTTGTAAAAGTAAGAAATAAGATTCTTCCCTTTCAGGTGGGGTCCATGAACTGGCACTGGGCTGCGGCCTGCCAGAAACTGGGCCGCCCAAACAAGCAAAGCTCCATCCCCAGGATGCAGGCAGCACACAAAACCACACACCCCTCCCAGTCTGCGGAAAAAACCTCTCTCCGTGGTGCCCCCCAATTTTGGGGGCCGCTGCCTTAGGGTGCCGTTTCTGGGTTCGGCAAGGCGGTCGCTCACCGGGCCATGAGCTTGTGCAGCTCCTGTCGGTGCTGCTGGTCCTCGGTGGCGATGGCATGCTGGGCTTGCTGCTGCATCATCTGGACAAAATGCTGCATGTGCTGGAAGGCTTCGATCTGCAAGACAGGAAGCGAAGCAAAGATGCTGCCATGCATCACCCCTGGGGTTGCTAAGGTGACCGCCTCCCTCCTCCTCCTCCTCCTCCTCGGGGACCACGCGGGGCATCCTCTCCTTTGCTCCGAAAAGCCTTTGGCCCAACGTGCCGTTCTAAGTACAGGGGGAGCAAAAGTTTGTTCAATGACCATTTGAAGTTACGACGGTCCTGGGGAAAAAAAGGGACCGTTTTTCACACTTACGACCATTGCAACATCCCCGTGGTGGTGTGATCAAAATTTGGGCGCTTGGCAGCTGACTCGTATTTATGACGGCCGCGGTGTCCCAGGGTTGTGTGATCTCTTTTTTTGCAACAGGGAAGCCAAATTCACGTAACAGCCTGTAGTTGACTTAACAGCTTGCAGTGATTCACGTAAGCAAGAATGGTCGTTAACACAGGGCAAACCTCAGTGAACAAAGGTCTCGCTCAGCAATCAAATTTTTGGGCTCCATGGCGGTCATGCGCAGAGGACCACCTGTATTTGGTGCTGGGCATTAAGTGCTGCAAGGAATTGTGGTGTATGTCAGCTAAAAAGATACCCCTTTGGTCTTTTTAGCTGCCAGAAAAAAAGGGAGTGGGGGAAAACAAGGCATTCTTGAAATGCCTAGATATCAACTCAACAGCCCAAAGTTGTCGGAGCGTAAGAAGGTGATTGGAGAGCATGATGGATGACTCTTGGAGAGGGAAGTGTCCTATTGGAGAAGTCACATCCAGGGGGTGGAGGAAAGACCAGGGTCAAGGGGAAAATGGATGATGTGACTTAGTACCGGCTGCACGCAGCCACGCACCAACATGGCTCATTGACGGTTCGCTTCAGGGTTGTGTTTGACCTCAAGGGGGCCGGAGTGGGTGTGACCAGAGCGGGCATGGCTTGCTTGATGTCACTTACGCCAGGGCACCCATGACAGCCCAAGTACTCTGCCAGCGAAAACAGGCTCCCGAGCTCCGTTTTCACTGGCAGAGCATTGCAGAAGGCTGTTGCAGCTGGAAACGGAGCTCGGGAGCCCGTTTTTGCTGACAGAGGCACCGCAGGCCGGTTTTTCACTGCTTTCAGGGTGGCCCCATGGGCCAGATCTAAGCCTCTCACAGGCCAAATTGGTTTATTATTTCTAATAAACCCAATTACTTTTTCTGAGATGCGGCTAGAGGCTTTTGCGTTGAATGAGGGTGGATTTGTTGGAGCCCTGACAGCCAGCCGGCGCTGACCTCTGACGAACTCTGAACTCTGGTTCAAAGTTCTTGCACAAAAGGTTCCTTGCCTCACCATCCAGATACAGTAGGAAAACAAAGGAAACGCAGCGGGTTCAAGAGAGAGAGAGCGTTCTGCAAGAAAGGGAAGAGAGTAGGACCAGCCTTACCTTGTGGGCGCTTTTCCACATGTGCTTCATGTATGCGTAGGTCACTTGAGGGTGAAGAGTGGGCAAGGGATGGTCCAGCTGTCGGGATGGGTCGACCCCCAGGAGCAACACCAAGGTTTTCTGGGCTAAAGCCTTCGGCGAGGAAGAAGAGGAGAGACAAATAAACGGCGAGCTCACATCCCAGGCCTTTTCCTCAGCAAGCTGGCTGGGGGACTTCTGGGAGTTGAAGTCCGCACTTCTGAGAAGCTACGGCGGGAGGTGGAGCAACCGTTCAGGCTGAATGGAGGCTGGAGTTACTCACCAGCCTGCCGCTCTTGCCACACAAGCTGGCGTACTTGAGCCACATTCTCATGTCCTCGTGGGGGTTGAGCACTAGCGAACGCACCATGAGAATCCGCTGCCAGTCCTCTACGATCCGCTGGCAACCCTGGGAAGAGAGGGATTTCTCAAAAGACTCTGGAAAGAGTGCAGAGAAGAGCAACAAAGAGGATCAGGGGACTGGAGGGTAAAACATACGATGCAGGAACTGGGTATCTCTAATGTAAGGAAAAGGAGGACGGGGGGGGGGGGGGACATGTTAGAATGTTCCAATAGCTCAGGGGTTGCAACCCCCAAAGAAGAGGGAGTCAAGCCACTCTCCAAAGCACCTGAAGGCAGGACAAGAAGCAACGGGTGGAAACTCATCAAGGAGAGAAGCAACTTAGAATTAAGGAGAAATTTCCTGACAGTTAGAACAATTAACCAGTGGAACAAATGGCCTCCAGAAGTTGTAAATACTCCAACACTTGAAGTTTTAAAGAAGAGATTGGACAACAGCTTGTCTGAAATGGTATAGGGTTTCCTGCCTGAGTGGGGGCTTGGACTAGAAGACCTCAAAGGTCCCTTCCAACTCTGCTATTCTATTCTATTCTATTCTATTCTATTCTATTCTATTCTATTCTATTTTATTTTATTCTATTCTATTTATTCTACTCTACTCTACTCTACTCTATTCTATTCTATTCTATTCTATTCTATTCTATTCTATTCTATTCTATTCTATTCTATTCTATTCTATTCTATTCTATTCTATTCTACTCTACTCTACTCTACTCTACTCTACTCTACTCTACTCTACTCTATTCTATTCTATTCTATTCTATTCTATTCTATTCTACTCTATTCTACTCTACTCTACTCTACTCTACTCTATTCTATTCTATTCTATTCTATTCTATTCTATTCTATTCTATTCTATTCTATTCTATTCTATTCTATTCTATTCTATTCTATTCTACTCTACTCTACTCTACTCTACTCTACTCTACTCTACTCTACTCTACTCTACTCTACTCTCTTCTATTGTATTCTATTCCTATTCCAATTCCTATTCCTATTCCTATTGTAATTCTATTTGCCTTCTCTTTTTTTTGGCATGCCCGATTTCCTGGAATTGAAAAAGGCATCGGGAACGGCGCCTGATGTTGGGAGAACCCCCTACCCACAGCTCCAACTAGTAA